TAAAGAGTTGATGTGTCAATAGGAAGAGTGCTTATGTGTCACACTATTGTGAGAGAAACTCAATTATTACTCTATTTCTTATTATATGATGTTTTGGGTTAAAGCACAAAAAGTTTAAGAAAAAAATTTTCTATAAAAAAAAAATCACTCCGTTTCAAAATATATAAGTTGTTGTGGCTAAAAGTGCGAATAATATAAGAAACAACTTTTCTTCTAAAAAGTAAATATCATCTTAAAAATAATTTAACCAATGAAAAAAATGACTGCAAAAAACTATTGGTCACACAATAGTCACTAAAGTTAAAAAATACCTAATATTATCAAAACAACATATATTTTGAAACGGAGGAAGTATAATACAAGTCAACCAATTAAAAAAAAAACTGTATAATACTATTGGTTACACAGTTTTCAATAAAGTAAAAAGGACATAGAAATCTGAAAACATCTTATCATAGGATATGAATTGTTGATATATTTCATGTGTTCGCATGTGTTATCTTATGTACAACTTATGCTTCTCCTCGCATATATATAGGAGAAGAGAATTACATGCAAAAGGACACTTGGACATAGATAAAGCTTGGCCAAGTAGATGTGTTCTCTCATGTGTTGTCTTCTCATGTGTTTTCATATGTTATCTTTTTAGTGTCTAACTTTGTGTCAAGCTTATGTAGATTAGACTTGTCCATAAGCTAAATAAGGTTAGTGTCAAGAAATGATGAATAACTATTAATGTACAAGTTATTGATATCTAATTTTACAAAAACCAACGAAAATAAACAAAAGGGAATTTGGATAAAAAATAATCTAACTTCAAATTAACCAACATATTACACAAAAAAAAATATTTCGGTTGAGATAAATCTATATAACTCATGTAATTTTAACCCTACTACATTTACAAAACAAAGACATTATGACATGCTAACATTATGTTATGTAGGTTAAATATTTCAATCAATAATATTTACAATATTACAAGACACCGATTCTTTCTTTATAAAGCCACCGATTCTTTGTTTAAAAAAAAAAATACACTAACCGTTTCATTGCTATATAATCCAATGCCTTTGCACTCCTCCTATACATCTCCCATTGTCCAGAAATTTACACTTTTTGTTTCTCGCTTGTGTCCATGGATCACCACCTCTCTTACTTAGTTATTCAGAAGGGTCTTAAGGAACTCCTCAACAATCCTTCTCCATCTTTCACAGCGGGTATGCTTTTTTCTTACAGAAAACATTCGCCTCTTCTAAATATTGTTGTTTGATAATTTGTTGTTCTTCTCTTTGGTTATGCGTGTTGTTCTTCTCCTTGGTTATACGTGTTGGAACAATTTTGTGGGGACAAATAAATGGTCTCTTCTTTCTCTTCCCCTAACGGTGTTCTTATCGGAATTTTACCACTAGTTCGTAATGTTCCAATATTAACGGTTTTTTTTATCGGAATTCGCATGCAAATTCTTCGTCTCTTGAATATTTGTAGTCCATATTTCCACAAATATTAGCCATCCTTTCTTCCCACTTCCCTAATACGTCAATTAATCTCGTTGATCTTCATGTTCCCTTCTAGGGCCTGTGTTGGATGACTTCTACCATTGGGTTTTCATTGTAAATGGACCTCCCGAAACTCCCTATGCTGGAAGAGTTTTCGACCTTGACATTCGCTTTCCTCCCTAGTATCCATTTCAACCCCCAAAGGTCGACTTTCATAACGTGCTCCTCCCTATTTAGACTATTCATCCGTATCACTTACATTGTCACTTCTACTGTATCGCAGGTAAATTTCTGCAACAAGGTGTACCACCCAAACATTTCCGCGAAAGGTGCAGTTTATCTTAATTTGTTGAAAGATCATTGCTCCTGCGTTTACCATTTCGACGGTATGAGGTTTCTATCTAATATCTGTACATCTATTACACATTCAAGGCCTCAAATACGCCTGCTCAAAGTATGTGTTTTTGCGAACCACTTGTATCTTTGTAGGTGTTAAACACCATTTGCTCTCTTCTCGCGCGTCCCAGAGTTGGTGAAAGTGATGTATTCGATGAGCATGTTGCTCAAATCTACTCGGTCGATAAGGCGGAGTACGAGTCAATCGCCCGAAGATGGCCGCAGCAGTACGCTACTGGAAACTAATAATTATCCTTCTTTTTCTCAGAAAACCCTGTAAATCTATATTTTTATTAGATTAAACTCTCTTTTGTTGTTTGGATCCTGTACCATTTGGCTTTAAATTTAATTGAAGTTATGCATGCACTACAAGAAAACAAGCAGTATTCCGACGGAATTTCTGACGGCCGAAATTTTCCGACGGCATCCCGACGGATTTCCGAGCAAAATGAATCCGTCGGAAATCCGTCGGAATTTTATGACGGATTTCAGACGGACACGGAAACCGTCGGTATTCCGTCGGAAATCCGTCGTCTTGTCCCGACGGATTTCCGACGGAAATAAACTGTCGTAATTTTTCGACGACTTTCCGACGGAATAACGATGGAAATCCGATTTTTCCGATGTCGGCAAAGTTTGATTGGTCAGCTCATACCGACGGAACTA